AGACATGACGAGGAGTCTCGAAATGGTCGAGACATGAAGATTGATATATTGGAAGCCTATATTTGGATATCAGAAGTGTTCCGGGTGAAATTGAGATTTTACCGGAGTACCGAGGGGTTACCGGAACCCCCTGGGGGCTTAATGGGACATAGTGGGCCTTTGTGGAGAAGAGGAGAGGTGGCCAGGGCAGGGCCGTGCGCCCCTCCCCCCTAGTCCGAATAGGACAAGGAGAGGGGGGCGCCCCCCCCATCCTTCCTCTCTCCCTCCTCTTTCCCCCTCCACTCGTAATTCAACAAGGAAAGGGGAGGGAGTCCTACTCCCGGTGGGAGTAGGACTCCTCCTGGCGCGCCCCTCCTGGCCGGCCACACCTCCCCCTTGCTCCTTTATATATGGGGGCAGGGGGCACCCTAGAGACACAACAATTGATCGTTTGATCTTTTAGCCGTGTGTGGTGCCCCCCTCCACCATAGTCCACCTCAATAATACTGTAGCGGTGCTTAGGCGAAGCCCTGCGTCGGTAGAACATCATCATTGTCACCACGCCGTCGTGCTGACGAAACTCTCCCTCAACATTCGGCTGGATCGGAGTTCAAGGGACGTCATCGGGCTGAACGTGTGCTGAACTCGGAGGTGTCGTACATTCGGTACTTGATCGGTCGGATCGTGAAGACGTACAACTAAATCAACCGCGTTGTGCTAACGCTTCCGCTTTCGGTCTACGAGGGTACGTGGACAACACTCTCCCCTCTCGTTGCTATGCATCACCATGATCTTGTGTGTGCGTAGGAATTTTTTTGAAATTACTACATTCCCCAACACTATCATGTATGCAATGTTGTGTACCAGACCTGATGTGTGCCTTGCTATCAGTCTAGCAGGGAGGTACCAAAGTAATCCAGGAGTGGATCACTGGACAACGTTCAAGAACATCCCGAGAGACCTGAAAAGGGGTAAGGATATGTTTATCGGAGGTGACAAAGAGCTCGCCGTAAACGGTTACATCGATTCAAGCTTTGACACTGATCCGTATGACACTAAGTCACAAACCGGATACGTATTTTTATTGAATGGTGGAGCTGTCAGTTGGTGCAGTTCTAAGCAGAGCGTCGTGGCGGGATCTACGTGTGAAGCGAAATACATAGCTGCTTCAGAAGCAGCAAATGAAGGAGTTTGGATGAAGGAGTTCATATCCGATCTAGTGCATTGGGTCCAATGAAAATCTTTTGTGACAATACTGGTGCAATTGCCTTGGCAAAGGAATCCAGATTTCACAAGAGAACCAAGCACATCAAGAGACACTTCAATTCCATCCGCGATCAAGTCAAGGAGGAAGACATAGAGATTTGCAAGATACATACGGATCTGAATGTTGCAGACTCATTGACTAAGTCCCTCTCACGAGCAAAACATGATCAGCACCAAGACTCCATGGGTGTTAGAATCATTACTGTGTAATCTAGATTATTGACTCTAGTGCAAGTGGGAGACTGAAGGAAATATGCCCTAGAGGCAATAATAAAGTTGTTATTTATATTTCCTTACATTATGATAAATGTTTATTATTCATGCTAGAATTGTATTAACTGGAAACTTAGTACATGTGTGAATACATAGACAAACAGAGTGTCCCTAGTATGCCTCTACTTGACAAGCTCGTTAATCAAAGATGGTTAAGTTTCCTAGCCATAGACATGTGTTGTCATTTGATGAACATAATCACATCATTAGAGAATGATGTGATGGACTAGAACCATCTGTTAGCTTAGCACTATGATCGTTTAGTTTATTGTTATTGCTTTCTTCATGACTTATACATGTTCCTATGACTATGAGATTATGCAACTCCCAAATACCAGAGGAACACCTTGTGTGCTATCAAACGTCACAACGTAACTGGGTGATTAGAAAGATGCTCTAGAGGTGTCTCCGATGGTGTTTGTTGAGTTGGCATAGATCGAGATTAGGATTTGTCACTCCGTGTATCAGAGAGGTATCTCTGGGCCCTCTCAGTAATGCACATCACTATGAGCCTTGCAAGCAACGTGACTAATGAGTTAGTCACGGGATGATGCATTACGGAATGAGTAAAGAGACTTGCCAGTAACGAGATTGAACTAGGTATGATGATACCGACGATCGAATCTCGGGCAAGTAACATACCGATGACAACGGGAACAACGTATGTTGTTGTGCGGTTTGACCGATAAAGATCTTCATAGAATATGTAGGGACCAATATGAGCATCCAGGTTCTGCTATTGGTTATTGACCAGAGATGTGTCTCGGTCATGTCTACATAGTTCTCGAACCCGTAGGGTCCGCACGCTTAACGTTCGATGATGATATGTATTATGAGTTATGTGATTTGATGTACCGAAGGTTGTTCGGAGTCCCGAATGAGATCACGGACATGAAGAGGAGTCTCGAAATGGTTGAGACATAAAGATTGATATATTGGAAGGTTATATTCGGACACCGGAATGGTTCCGAAGTGTATCGGGTATTTTCCGGAGTACCGGGAGGTTACCGGAACCCCCCGGGGGATTAATGGGCCACAATGGGCCTTAGTGGAGAATAGATTGGGCGGCCAGATGTGGCGCCCCCCCCTTGCCCAGTCCGAATTGGACAAGGGGAAGAGAGGCGCCCCCTCCTTTCTTCTCTTCTCTCCTCTTTCCCTTCTTCTCCTTCTTGGACTTGGAAAGGAGGAAACCTACTCCTACTAGGAGTAGGATTCCTCCCCCTTGGTGCGCCCCTTGTGGCCGGTCGGCCACCTCCTCCCCTCCTTTATACACGTGGGAGAGGGCACCCCACAGACACACAAGTTGATCTTTAGACGTGTGCGGTGCCCCCTTCCACAGTTTTCCACCTCGGTCATATTGTCGTAGTGCTTAGGCGAAGCCCTGTGTCGGTAACTTCATCATCACCGTCAACACGCCGTCGTGCTGACGAAACTCACCCTCGGCCTCAACTGGATCAAGAGTACGAGGGACGTCACCAAGCTGAACATGTGCAGACCGCGGAGGTGCCGTGCGTTCAGTACTTGATCGGTTGGATCGCGAAGACGTTCTACATCAACCGCGTTACTAAACGCTTCCGCTTTCGGTCTACGAGGGTACGTAGATACACTCTCCCCTCTCGTTGCTATGCATCTTCTAGATAGATCTTGCGTGATCGTAGAAATTTTTTTGAATACCGCGTTCCCTAACAGTTTTCCCCCTAGGCCGGGTCGTGAGGGATACAGGGAGAGAGGCAGCGAAGTGTTTTTTGGTGCAACAAACTGTTATTCTCTTGAGTGGCATTCTCGTCGTTATTCTTGTAAAACTATGAGGGCAGAGAAATTTAGCACTTTGAAATTTTAAGTGGAGACACTCAGGAGTGTACCCTCTTGCGCATTCTTTTAACTATGAAGGAGGGAGCGGTAGGGAGAAACTAAGCCTGTAGCACAAAATGCTAGAGCTTAAATCCTGTTATAAGCTACCTATAAGCTCTTGTCGTAAACTAAGTCATGTGTTCCAGCTTCGATTGAATTAAAAACATAATAAACAAAATATTTTTTAAGGCCCTGAATTCTCTATTCTTGAATAGTTGCAACCTAGTGTCTACTTTTCCCAAGTATCCACACCAACAGGCTATGCATGTCGGCCATGTCATCACATGCCATCTCATGCATATGGTGTGGAGAATTGATTAAACTCGATACTACACATTGCTTATTGGTATTTGGATTAAAAAGTGAAAAAAAGAAGAAGTGGAAAAGGCACGACACAAAATATATATTGCAATCATCTTAACACAAATTGTATTTGCGGTGTGGTAACGATGTTTCATAGATACCTGACCCGAGCTTCCTTGCAGGAATGCACGAGAAATCATCTTATTTGTATTAAAAAGGACATCCAATACTACAAGACATCACAAAAATAAAGAAGTTACATCTAGGTTTTCAGAGTGTCAAACAAACTCAATCTCCATCATAAGCTGAAGGCATGCTGCCACCGCCGCTCCGCTGCTGGAGTCGGCCTAATATTGTATTCTTCGGTTGGCAATTCATCATGCTAAGATCTAGTTGAACCAATGCCTCGGAGAAGAAGCTGCCATCGTGAATCCTTTCATAGATATTCAAACCATCTCCTAGACAAAACTTTCACCAGCTTCGCAACGACGACGACAGAGAGAACACCATTGCATGCGAGAAGGAGCATGACCTGCACGCGAGCGGAGAGACACCCAAATGAAGAGAAGGAGGCCATAGTCTCGTGGCTACCACAAAAATGGCCACGGAAACACCTCCCCAACCTCCATGTGTCAACTTTTTTTTATGACGCCTCAAGTTGTCTGCAAAACCACCACCTCAAGGAGCAAGAAAAAGAGGATCGTCTTGACGTGAGCGCATGACACACAAAAGCACCCGGCCAGATTTATAGGACCCGAGACAGAGCAGACTCTGCCTCCTAGATCCAGCACTAATAGCGGCGAGAACAATTGTATCGAAATGAGATCTAACGAAAACACATTTGCTGCCACCATTGCCACCGTCGGAGCCGTAGCAATGAACAATCAAAACCTAATCAAGAAACCCCATACTGTTGGACACACGCGGAATAAGGTCTTGCGATTTCCCTCCCTCCCGTTGTCACTTGGGCAGTCGGCGGAGATGAGGGAACCCCAATAACTCCGGTGTTGAGGTTGCTTTCTCTCTCCTCTCTCTACAATGGTTGCTGGCGGCTAGGGCTGATTGTTTTTTTATAAAGAAAAAAAATATGTACCCCGATTACGACATGATCTGGCCCCTTTCACCATAAAAATTTGTATACACCACATTTCGTAATCTGTCGCAGAAACTTGTTTGGTTAAACCAACAATTAAGTAGTCAAAAGCTAGCTAGAGGATCGACATCATCATAGTCCACCAAACAGAGATTTCATTCGCCAGTAAGTCATTTCAATTTCCACCTTGTTTTCTTCGCCTTTTACCATTTATACTGCTTTGCAGGAGGCGTCAATGCACATGAAACTTGACTATCAAGTTTCTACCCCCAAGAACTTGGCTTCCAAGCCAGTGCTTTTGTTGAAAACAGCGGTCGGTTTTGTGGCATAATCGAAATCTCTCCCTACCTCCGCATCTTTCGCCAAGTTTAAGCCGCAAACCTCCGCGCGCCAAAACTTGGATCCCACGAACTCTAGACGAGGTTCAAAGCTCCAAAGCACTCCGCCTCTACTTCGAATCCGCCCAAATCGAAAAAAATCGCAGTGGTTCTTAGTAGCAGCAGCCCGCGCCGGGTGCCGTGGTGGCTACTGCGGCGGCAGGGAGCTCGCGCCCGAGGGCCCGATCCGCGCCATGGAGGAGGTGAGCAGCTTCGCCCCCTCCGCCTCCCTCGACCTTTTCATGTCGCGCTGGTTGCTGGTCGCGCAATCCTAGCTTGTGTCTTGGGGTCGCTTTTTTTCCCCGCGGAATTTTGGGTTTGGGGTGTTCTAGTGCGGATTTGGGGGTTGTGAGGTGTCATCATGTATGATCAGTGAGGTTAGGTGGCGGTGATTTCTAGGAATGTGGCTCGTATTTTGACCTGGCCTGTGGGCAATAGCTGACTATTTGGCTTGTTGGTCTGAACTCTGAATTGATTCGCTTACTGCGCATGCAGCCGCTTGATGAGAAGGATTTGGAAAGGAAGCTGAAGAAAGAGCAGAAGGTGCTTGTTCTAATATGGTTCTGTGCTGTTCACGATGGAGTAGGAGAACACACTAGTCGACTTGTTTCGTGTGTGAGTAGTTTTACCCACAGCTCATCTGTGTTCTGTTCTGTGACAGGCGAAATCGAAGGAGGAGAAGAAGCTCAAGGCAAAGCAGAAGGAGGAGGCCAGACTACAGGTGGCGACCGGCGGCACTAACCCATTTCTTGGTTTGGAGGAGAGGTTCTGTTTGACTGATGTGATTGTCTGTAGGTCCAAGCAGCATCCGATGGAGCCAAGAAGAGTGAGAAGAAGCAAAAGAAGAAAGGTGTCACGGATGAGAATCCCGAGGATCTCGTTGATCCGGATACTCCCACTGGACAGAAGAAACTGCTTGCTTCTCAAATGGCCAAACAATATAGCCCGTCCGCTGTCGAGAAATCGTATGCTTCCTTTCTCGCTTTAGTTGAATCATGCCATCAAATTTTTTGGAGTCCATGGTCAGAAATTCCTCACTGAACTATGTATTTTCCTTTTCTTACTGTCATGCAGATGGTATCCTTGGTGGGAGTCATCACAGTATTTTGTAGCAGATGCCGCAAGCTCAAAGCCACCTTTTGTAATAGTAAGTTCCTCCATAACTCAAATGGTACATGATTATATTCAGAATAAGCATCTGTTTGCGATGGCTATGTGAATTGCTCACCAGATGATTTCACACTGTAAATCTTGCATAAAACATAATATGTAAAAATGAAGATATATTACTGTGAATGACAAGAACTAAATACTTATTTGCAGGTCCTGCCACCCCCAAATGTGACAGGAGCCCTTCACATAGGCCATGCAATTACAGTGGCAATTGAGGTAGTGAGTTTATCTGTACTGGAGCCCTTCTGTTCGCCCCTATCAGTATTGGTGGTGTTGATGTTCTTTTGTTTCTTTGCATTGACAACAATGCAGGATGCTATGATCCGCTGGCGGAGGATGTCAGGCTACAATGCTTTGTGGATTCCTGGAATGGATCATGCTGGCATAGCTACACAGGTCTGCTATGCTTCATGTTGTCTGATAAGTGGTACATTCCAGTGCATAGAACATATATACTGGGTCCAAGGCCCCAGTATATCTATCTTCTGCACAAGTTATATTTTTCGTAGTTGTTCATGGCCTAGTATTATTAGCCTGAGTTCAAATTGACGTCTACTCAAAAGTTATATTGATCATTGAGTCTTATCTGACTGATCCATTGTTACTATTTCTTACTGTAGCAAGTGTTTCATCTAACAAAATTGTTAACCTCCATATCAGGTCGTTGTGGAAAAGAAGATCATGCGTGAGAGGAAGCTGTCAAGGCATGATCTAGGGCGTGATAAATTTCTATCTGAGGCAAGCACTCTGATTTTTGACCCACTGTATATCATCTCACCTGTAATGAACTCATGTTTTTTAAAGGAGTAAATAATCATATTCATAAATGTTTTTTCTTGCATTTATTCATCTGTTATCTATTTTGCTCAATTCAAGAGAAAGGTCCCTAGATACCAGTACAAAATTCTGCACAAGGTAGCTCATATGCCAATGAATGAACCAAAATTTTACAGTGCCATGAAATGAATTGCTCTGTTAATTTAATTAATTGAGACAATTTTTTGGTTCAGTGCCAGCCCATACTTTGTTATGCTGGTTGATTTTCACATTTACTCATTCGATGTATCAATCATCATTTTTTGCAGCTCCACAACTGGAAAGATCAGTATGGTGGCACCATACAGAGACAACTGCGTACGCTTGGAGCCTCGCTTGACTGGTCGCGCGAAGTAAAGTCCTTGTCCGATTCCTCCATTGCTATAGCTAGGGAAAGCAACATTTCTGTCTAAATAATGCATAGTTTTTCAGTGTTTTACAATGGATGAGCAGAGATCAGGAGCTGTAACAGAAACATTTGTTAGGCTATACAAGGAAGGTTTGATATATAGGTTAGTTTTCCATACAGAATGTGCACCCTTTTTTGCATCTTGTTCTGCTGAGCTTATGTGTTTGCTCATCTTATGTTGTTCGGCATCCTCTAAATTACTTTATTACCTCTTGGATGATTCATCCATTTGCAGGGATATTCGTCTCGTGAACTGGGATTGCACGCTCCGTACAGCAATTTCTGATATCGAGGTATGTGAGGCATGCACTTTTGCAGTGTGCTGGCCACTTTGGTTCTTTGCATGTGTGAGCAGGAATGCAGGGTTGTATCTTATATTTTGATCGCTGGTTTTCAGGTTGACCGTGTTGATCTCAAGGCAGAGACTTTCTTAGAGGTCCCTGGTTATAGCAACCCAGTTCAGTTTGGTGTTTTGACATCTTTTGCCTACCCTCTAGAAGAAGGATTGGGTGAAATTATCGTTGCAACAACTAGAATAGAAACTATGCTCGGTGATACCGCTATAGCTGTTCATTCTCAGGATGAAAGATATAAGCATCTGCATGGAAAATATGCCGTGCATCCGTTTAATGGCCGAAAACTTGAAATAATTTGCGCCGATGACTTGGTGAAAGCCACTTTTGGTACTGGCGCTGTCAAGGTAGGTGTGCCCATCTGAAGAGCTGGTTTGGAACTTTGGATACCTTTACATTCAGAAATCAGTGCCAATCTTATCTCTATCTTTCTATATGCAGATCACGCCAGCTCATGATAGCAAGGACTTCGAGGTTGGGAAACAGCATAACCTGGACTTCATCAATATTTTCACTGATGACGGGAACATAAATGAAAATGGAGGTCCACAATTTGAAGGAATGCCACGTTTCACCGCTCGAGCTGCTGTTATTGATGCACTAAAGGAAAAGGTATTATTATAGTCTCAGTATTTACCATTTTTCCTTTAGAACTGATTCTGCTTCGTTCATGTAGTTGTATCTAATTTATTGCTTATCCTCAATGTTTTTGGAAAAGGTTCATCAATGTATTGTCATAATGGAATAAAAACTTCTAAGTCGAAAAAGGTATCATAGTTCTATGTTGACTTCTAAAAGCATCTAGAGTCATCTTGGATGTGATTCGATTTCTTTGAATTTTGCTAATTTATGGAGTGTAAATTTAGTTGTATTTGTATGAGCAACAACATTTTTTTTTATGTTTCTCGGTTTACTAATTATATTTCAATCGTGAGCCATTTGGCAGGCATGGAAGCATCACGTTGACATTTTTACGTTAGAAATATGGTATTCCGTATTTTGATTTGTGTGCTATGTGTGGTATATACATATACGCATAGCTGGCTCTGTTCAAGCTTGGTCTCCCTTTTCGATCTGGGATTGTCGTAATATATGAGAACTCTTTTTCCTTCACGCTATACTGGAGTCTGGATACCTGTGTGAAGATGGCTGATTAAGTTGCTTGTTTGATTCAAAGTTTGATCTTGTTGCCTGGTTATTTATCCTTCGTTGTCGCTTATCTTTTTCCGTAATGTATTGTTTTAGTAATTTCCAAATTATAATCAATTTGCACTTGTCAATAAATGAAGGGTCTATACAGAGGCATGGAAAATAATGAGATGGAATTAGGTCGTTGTTCAAGAACTAATGATATCGTCGAGCCAATGATCAAGCCCCAATGGTTTGTTAATTGTAATACCATGGCAAAGGCAGCTCTTGATGCTGTGAAATCCAAAGAGATAGAGATCATTCCACCACAATATGAGCAAGACTGGTACAGGTACATCCTATTTGCTTTACTTTAGGCATGCATCTTTCCTTTATGGATCAGTTTACGCTAACACAAAACGAATAATCCATCCACTACTGCTGTTCTGTTTGCTGCAGGTGGCTTGAAAACATACGCGATTGGTGTATTTCAAGACAACTTTGGTGGGGACACCGTGTACCTGCCTGGTATGTGACATTAGAAGATGACAAAGAGAAAGGCATGGGTTCATACATTGACCACTGGATAATCGCAAGAAATAAAAGTGATGCAGTACTGGAAGCAGAACAGAGGTACCCAGAGAAGAAATATCAGTTGGATCAAGATCCTGATGTGTTGGACACATGGTTTTCAGCTGGTCTTTTCCCCCTAACTGTACTTGGTTGGCCGGACAATACAGCTGATCTTAGTACTTTCTACCCGACTTCTGTTCTTGAAACTGGATTGGACATCCTCTTCTTTTGGGTAGCAAGGATGGTGATGATGGGAATGCTACTCCACGGTGATGTGCCATTTCGAAAGGTAATATGTAGGTTGAGTTTTATTAGATAGTTCTGGATCCAATTTATGCAATCACAGTTTTGCCAAATGGTTGTCTTGTCAGTAGCTATTATGTGCTTTGCTCCTGTACTGTAGAACCACTCTCTGGGCAGAAGCCTGCTTACGTTTAACTTGGTGATCTGTAACTGCTACAACAAAAACAATTTATTATCACTCTTGGGGGTTCTGCCCATGACCCAATCTTGTGCCATTTATTTATCTTTTCTTTCACTTATTTCCACCTTAATAATGTCTAGATTGACATGTTCTTCTATATTTTTTCTGTCAAAAACTTTTTATATATTTTGCTGCACCTATATGTCACATTATCTACTTACAAGCAGTGCATTTCAGTATGTCACATAGCATTGAAATAAACTATGATGACCCAGGTTACTACCCTAATGATGGCAACTTCCACTGGAAGTGAAGCACACCAATTCTTTAGGGAGCATTTTTTTAGAATCAGTTCTGTAGGTAATTGAAAATCCACAATTAGTTGTTAAACCTTGCGTCATGACTATCTTATCTGTTTCTCAGATTTACTTGCATCCAATCATTCGTGATGCACATGGCCGCAAAATGTCCAAGTCACTAGGAAATGTCATTGATCCCATTGATGTAATAAATGGTATAACACTGGAAGGTCTTCAGAAAAAGTTGGAACAGGGCAATCTGGACCAAGGCGAGTTGGAAAAGGCAAAAGAAGGTCAAAAGAAGGATTTCCCTGATGGTATTCCTGAGTGTGGTACTGATGCCCTTCGTTTTGCTCTGATCTCCTACACTTCTCAGGTTATGCTTATCGCCAGTTTTTCCCATTTCTCTGATTATTATTATTGCAAACCTCTAGTACCCCCTTTGTTCACTTTTGTAAGTCGTTTAGGACAGCTGAAATTGAACTGTTTTAGGTGCTGTCTTAAATGTCTAAAAGGTCTTACAAAAGTGAACGGAGGGAGTACTAAAATTTCTCATTTTTTACCAGTCCGACAAGATAAACCTGGATATCAAGCGAGTGCATGGGTACAGACAATGGTGCAATAAGCTGTGGAACGCCATCCGTTTTGCGATGATTAAGCTTGGAGATCAGTACACTCCACCAGCAACTCTCGCGGTGCATACTATGCTGCCCATCTGCAAATGGATACTCTCAGTACTTAGTAAGGCTGTTGGCAAGACCGTGTCATCGTTAGAAGCATATAAATTCTCTGACGCGACATCCTCTATATACTTTTGGTGGCAATACCAGCTTTGTGATGTCTTTATAGAAGCAATTAAACCTTACTTCAATGGATCTGAAGAGTTCGAATCTGCAAGAGGTGCTTCTAGAGATACACTATGGGCATGCCTGGACACTGGTTTGCGTCTGCTCCATCCATTCATGCCTTACATAACAGAAGAGCTTTGGCAGCGCCTTCCTCAGCCTAAGGAGGCTTGTAGGAAAGATTCCATTATGATATCAGAATACCCCTCAGCTGTACAGGTAAACATTTCTTTTCAGGACAACTTAGGAATGAACCAGAGGATTTGATCTTCTAGTTACTGTTTTTCGAGAACGGTACTGTAGAGCCTACTGCGCAGGATTAACAAGAAGCTACTCTATAATGAATATATGAAAAAAATGCAAAGAAAAAGTTAGCGTATTATCTCAATTTGAGAAATCCTATGTTTAAGCAATTATATACCTCACAATACAATTTTGTTATCACTACTTGTGCCTGATAAGTTTCCTGGGACGACAGGAATGGGCAAACGATAAAGTTGAGAATGAAATGGAGATTGTGTTAGATGCTGTGAGTAAGCTGAGATCTCTCCGGCCACCAACAGATATACAGTTAAGGTGTGTTTCTGTTCACCAAATAGATTATTTTGAGTTTCACACAGTATGGCAGATGCTATGCTCAAATATACTAAGATTGCCATTTTATTGTAGTCTAGGTTCATAATAAGTTTGCTCTTTTCTAGCTGATAACATATTTATATTTTCACCTCAACAGGCGCCCATCTTTTGTGCTCTGCCGAAACCTAGAGATTGCAGCCACTGTTCGGTGCTACCAGGCTCAAATTGCAACGCTTGCTTCTGTATCATCTCTTAAGGTTTGACAGATCATGCAATATCTATGCTTATTTCTGTCTTTTCTTGCACTTTTGTTGCCTCTTTAAGGCTTTAAAAAATCCTTTTGGAAGGAAGCTGAAGATGTATGTGCCACAAGTAACCATATACTCCGATGATATATGCCTTGCTCTTGCCGTATGCAGTGGCGGACCTAGGATCAAATTACTGGGGGTGCCAAACATCAATACATAGGCAAAAGTAGTATAATTGTGCCTGAACATCATAGTAAATTCAGCAAATAGTCCAAAAATTAAGGTTAAATATACTATATAAACTATTTTTTTGTTTTATAGGGCCACGTCACCCCCCTAGACCCGCCCCTGGCTGTATGCACATTTCCTGTTTCAACTCACCTTACTTTGTCAGTACATAAAATTCTACTTCCGTGAAGGTCTTAGGCAATCATGTCTTTGGCCTGCAATTCGAAATTGATACATGCACCTAACTAAAAAAAGCAAAGTTCTGACCAAGCAATTTTCCAGATCCTGACAGAGGATGATCCAACTCCACCCGATTGTGCCACAAATATTGTAAACAAAGATCTAGCCTTGTATCTCCAGTTCCGAGGGGCTCTCGACACGGAAGCTGAACATGAGAAGCTTAGGAAGAAGAGAGAGGAAGTTCAAAAGTAAGTGCAGTTATGCTACTGTTAAATTAGCTAATCCACTAATTCTGTTCATATTGGTCTTTTCTTTTCCAACTTCTATTCGATTTCTTTATTATCTTTAAGTAGTAACATGCTCCACTTTCCATCACCAATGCAGGCAATATGACACCCTGTCACAGAAAATGAGTGCTTCAGGCTACCGTGAGAAGGCCCCGCAGAGCAAGCAGGATGATGACATGAAAAAACTTGCTACTCTGTTGGAGGAGCTGGAGATCATCAGCGAAGCTGAGTAAACTGGATGCAAAAAACTGACAAATGTTTTGTGACTCAATCTTTTGAAGGCCTGCAGATATGATTAGCATGCATCTAGATGGACGATCCTCGGCACCCTGTACAGTCACTCCCACAGTTGCCACTGTTTGTAAAAAGCCTCGTCCACGCATTTTGTGTGTGTGACATGGGGGTGCTTTTAGGGCCTCATCTTATGCATTTTCAAAATTTCAGTTTGATTTGTGTCCATTCACATTGTTGGCATTTTCCCAATTGCTGTGGAGTGTGGTGGACTCTTGTGAGAGAATTTGTGCTTTGCAAAAATAAAACTGTTTTCTCTGCACGCAACAGACACATAAAATATGTACTCCCTCCGTAAACTAATATAAGAGCGTTTAGATCACTACTTTAGTTATTTAAACACTCTTATATTAGTTTACAGAGGGAGTATCTGTTAAGTGCTTTGCAGACTAATACATGACCGTAAAATTCATAAACTCTAAATTATGTGGAATCATTAGGAAATATCATGAATTCCTAAGCTCCAGAAAGCTCAGAATCGTACATTGCAGGGACAAGATTGTAACACAATGGGTCAACTCATCTGCCTGTCCTAGCTTTGTATCTTCAGCCAAATAACCAAACTGCACCAAGTAATATTGTACACTGATTGATACACGTCAGTTCATCCATTCTCAGCGAAGAGGTGCACGTTTCTGCGAGGATCGTCCGCTCCCTGTGATCATCAAGGAGCTCCAATGAACCCTCCACTAACAGTTCTTTTCAGGGCATCAACATAAGGTAAAATCCTCTGAACATCAGGTCCATAATAAAGTGAAAATATCGCCTCTGCCTGGGTGAATGTAGCTGCTGCGCTTGCCCTGTCCCCCAGAGACAGCTCGATGGAAACAAGCTTGATCAACTCATGCGCAATGGCAATGTGTTTGGGGTGGTACAGCTTCTCAAGGATCTGCATTATCATAAGATGCACTTCAGAAACAGTAAAAAATAATCAAGAGTGGGTCATGTGAAGCTGTAATCGATTAGTCCAAAAGTGTGGTCATATCATCATCTGGAGCCTAGCTGATAATTTGACTACTGCTTGTCGGAAAAGTGAGCACAATGGATCCCGAGAATACAAGGGCTCAAGATCAAAGTACATTTCTCCCCTTGTATTTCTCAGTAGACGAGTTAGAGATTTGAGCGATGATTGAGGTGACTACCTTAATTGATGCTTCACAGTGCTTTCTTGCTTGTTCTTGATCTCCTATCTTTGCAAAGGCTTCTGCAATCACATCTTCTGCCTGCATGTATCAATTTCGAAACATATGTTTCAACAGTGTGCCAGGAGAATTTGGAGCCAAATTTCTATCAAGGCATGTAACATGAGCACCCTAACCTGGGCAAGAGCCTTGCTATATGGGTGCCTCAACTTCTTTATCTGTTGTAGGGATCGTAATGCATCTGTGATGGGAATTTCGGAGATTTCATCTATAACTGCAAGTTCCTTAAACCTGTGAATTGAATTGTCATCCGACTTTGCTATGATTAAAAATTCACTGATGGAAGATGCAACCAAATTTAGATATGCCACATTCATTAATACATAACATACTTATTGATCATTGATGCTGCCTTCTCTGATGTAGAGACAGCAGAAGACAAGTTAATTTGTGATCTACAGCTCATGCAATATCCAGGATCTATCTTCAAATCAACATTATTTCTGAAAAACAATTTCCCAACCTTCTCTATATCTTCATCAACCTTGGAAACATGCTGAACAAAAAGAATTTCAGACTGATGCCACCAAACTAACTACTAGAAAATTTCGGGAGGGAAAAATCATCTTACAGGCAATGATAGTTTGCAGATATCAGATTCATCTACGGAAACATGCACACAATTCTTTTCGGATTTGTAGCAAGTTGATTCTGATACGGCACCAAGACAGCTACTTTGTGGACAACAAAATGAATCAATGACAAGGTCCGATAGATGTAGCTCTGAACAACTTGAACACTGGCAAGTAAATTTGTAATTCTCCTGAAGTGACTTTTGTCTTTTCACAAGATTCATCTCACCAACCTAGAAATGAGAAGCACAAACAGTGCAAAGCATAAATTCATAGTTACTTTTAAGTATGTCACACATGCATATACAAGAGAGGAAGGATGGGAGAGACCTGTGGACCATATGATAGCTCGACTGGGCTCCCTGAATTTATATATGTGGTAGATCTTAGGAAGAGAGTGCGTGAATGAAAATATGCATGTACATTTGGCCGGCACGAGTGATTAAAGAGGCTACCAGACATGTAGATAGCTTGAGCAACCTTGACCTAGCAGTAAGCAAAAACAAACACAGGTTACAGATGGTGAAGAGACTAAATGAGCATCAGAAGCAGAAGCCACACAAAGCAAAGTAGACAACACCATGCATTCTATACCAACCCAACAGTGTAATGTAGTGCGATTTAGAGGTACCTGCTTGACATACCAAGCTATAACTTCAACATTCCACACATTTTCTCAAGTTTATGAACTTAAACATCTTATCGTCTTTTTCCTGGATCTTATCAAGTTTTTTTACTTTCAAGATAACACCGCGTGCTTAAGTGTACTAATATTTAAAGGTCAGAGGATAAATCAATAATAAGACGCATCTGAATAGTAGGTAATATATATTCCTCAATTTTTATAGGATGGCGTATTGATCCCAGAAAAGAAAAGGGAGTACAAGACAAACCTGCTCCACACTACACATAACTGCATCATCAGCTGCAGAATAACCTTTACTCTCTGTCAGTCCCTGGCCTCCATCCATGGATTTCATACAAACAATAGCAATTGAATTGACTTTAACTTGACATATCAAAAGAACCAGCTGTACAAGATCAAAGAATGCTTATTAACCCCTGCTGACATATCAAAGCAATACCCATGTACGCAAGGGGAAACTCAAAAAAAAGTCACATATACCTGGGATAAAGTTTCCTCTTTCCACGAAAGATCTGATCTATAATGCTTTTGGAGGCATAATAACAAGACAATCGCACATATATGTGATTCCAACTTGCTAGTAGGAGAATCTATGTCATAGTGCTGAATGAGATCCTGCAATGGCCATTTTAGCCCATTAGTTCCCGGCCTGACAGACTTAGAATACTTGTGCTATATGCCTATATATCTTGTTTTAGAGAGATACTTATGTTATAATATCTAATGCTAACAGCACCAGAAAATGGTAAGCTCGTATGAAAATACTCCCCCGTCCCAAAATTCTTGTCTAGATTTGACTAGATACGGATGTATCTAATACTAAAACGTGACTTGATACATCCGTATTTAGACAAATCTAAGGCAAGAATTTTGGGACGGAGGGAGTATAAGTTTTTTTTACCAAATTTGGACCGGAGATGGCAGAGCTCTTTCCAGTCAGCATTCTGCTGTCTATGTATTGTGCCATTAGTCGCCCAGCTAAAACTATATCAGCTGGCAAAACAGCTGCCCAATGGGCACCTCCACATTCGTGCCTATGTTCAGCAATCTGTTTGGAGTTTGGAGCCATGCACCTTGTAGAAGTTAGGCTCAGTATTCCAAGATCAACTGCATTACTGTTAGATTCAAGATAAGTATCTTGATTCCAAGAGATTCCGCCTACAGCTTGCTCTTGGCACTTTCTTGAACAATAAACTGGTATTGTACACAAGGGGCAGAACACAACATCTGCAGGTGCTTCACTAAAGCAATAATGGCAGTGAGTCTCCCGGCAAGATTTCAGGATAATCTGCATACAACTGTTGCAAGTAAGAGACATACAAAACTTCAGCTTAAGATTATTGACAATTTTCCGAAAAACAAACACAACAAATAATTGCACACAAAGCACATAGAGTTTAGTTAAATGCCTGGCTTCATAAAACAATCTTGTATTGTATGCACCTCAAATAAACACATAACTTAATCAATTCATACGTGAACTACACAAAAGATTTTGGCAACTTGATATGGCCTTCGAAAATAAATAGGACAACAGGAAGGTTGGGACACAGCATTGGTGTATACAATTGAAGAGATAAATCTAAATCATACCGCAGCAAGAGGATCCTCAACATGAATCAAGGAGGTCGGAGGAATATCATTTGGAGATGTCATTCCTCTACCTTTGTTGGGCGTTGCAATACACTCAAGGACAACCTTATGTGGTTCTGCTGCGAGTTAGCCAAATATTATCTGTCACTTAGTATTAGGTACAAATCCAAAAAAGTTGTATGTGTGCCCAAAGTTCCAACCTGTATGTGCCAATCCTGCATCCTTGCAATCACTGTTTGATCTTCCAACTTCGTTCACACATTGAGGCTTTAACAATATCAATTTCAACTCTTGTTCTATGTTGCTCTTCCCAGAAGAAGTCACTTCCATGCTCAATGCAACCTCTAGATCATGCACGGCAGATGAATAATTCTTCAACGATGCATTTACCATTCCCCTCCTGTACCATGCCTGAAACACAGAAACATGTCAAACTAAAACAGTGATTTGGCTTCCATGCTGGAGCTTGAATTCTCAAAAACAGAGAAACAAACATTACGCGTAAGTTGCATTGTTACAACTATCACACTCCTACTACCTTCGCATAATTAGGTGAAACAGAGATGGCCCTGTCGCAATCCCGCAGACACTCTTCCTGCCCAATTTCTGCAAAATTCAGAAAATCCATTAGAATATATGCAAGGACACCTCAGGAAACAGGACAAAGCAAATCATATTGGATTTCGCTACAATCAAACGTCAGATTTTTTAGCATGGAAAATCAAACGTTTTTATGGCAAATTTAGTAGTCGCGAGGATGGGACTTCCTTTAGCAAGCATGGCAAATCCGTGACATGTTCAGTTTTTGCCCGGATTTGCCATGCTTGCTAAAGCAAATTGCCATCCTTACGACAACTAAATTTGCCATAAAAAACGTTCAATTTGCCATGGTTAAAAAAAATCTGACATTAGATTTTTAACATTACGTT